GCGCATAACTCAAAAACTGCTGTAGGTATCAAAAAAATGTGAACTACAAAAATGTAGAAAATTTAATATTCTATATTATTTTAGTTTACAAAATTGCTGTGGCTTTTTTAGTTTCTGAGATATTTGGCTTTAAATTTGGTGTGTCTTTTTTTCCTAGTGTTTTCTAGTCAACTTTTTTTTCTAGTTTATTTAAATGTTGCTATTTGAAGAAAATTGAAATTCTTTGACACTTTTAATTGAATTTTCTTTTTTTACCCTACGAAATGTTTCTAAATTTGTCAGAAGAGAAGGAAACATTGGAATTCTTCTCACATGTTCTGTTACCCTACAAAACGTCTAAAATGACTCAAAATTATTGAATTGTATCAAGAATTGGTCAAAAATCATAAAAATCGCCCCAAATTCTCAAAAATGTTTCTAAATTGATGACTGATAGCCTTCAAAAAATCCTCTCTTAACCTCATTTTGCCTCTCCAAATTTCTCCAAATTCCCATTTTGTCCTTGTCCTTTCTTCTCTGCGTCTCTCACTATTTCTCACTCTCTCTTCCTCGGTAATATAATCTTCTTTTTTCTTCTTTCTAGCGAGAAAGGCCAAATGTGGTTATATTCCATTCTCTCTCGCCTAGCCCCCCGTCATTCGAAATCACCTGTCCTTTTTCTTTTTCTCTGCGTCTCTCAATTTCTCATACTCTCTCGCTTCTCTCCTTTGCGAAGCCCTTTTTTGATTAAATGTTAGACGCTATTCTCCAAGACAACCGAATAGAAACATTGCTCAGCTTTATATATTCCACAAAAAAGGGTTAGCTATTTTCAAAACGCTATATCTTGAAAACTAAAATAGTTAGGAACAAAACTTTAATTAGAAAAATGTGTAAAATAAATTTTTACACAATTTAGTAGTTGGCACATTTTTGATAGCTACCGTAGTTTTTGAGTTATGTGCCTTTAAAGATGGCGGGGGGGGGGGGGTTCTTAGTGGGGGCGGAGGGAGGGGCCTTGGCGCCGTCAGCGAGGTACGACCACTTTAAAGGCGCATAACTCAAATAGCATAGCAGCTATCAAAAAATTGAAAACTACAAAATGGTAGCTTATAAAATTTTACACATTTTTGTAGTTTACAAAAGTTGCCTAACTGTTTTAGTATTAGAGATGTACAAGTTTTAAAAAAGCGCATATATAAACGGAAGATTCCTCATTTTTGGTGTAAAAAAGTGTTTTGTGATCCCAATGATTCATTTTTCTTCCTTATACATTTTCTCGCTTATTTTACACAATTTTTACTTGTCGTAATGTTACAGTATTCCTTTGTTCCAATTGTTTTTGTTCCTCTCTCTATCTATGTGTAAAATTTTCCATTTTTTGTAATCTTTGCCCGATTTATTTTTTCCTTTTTTTTCGATTTTCTTCTTTTTGTTTAAATTCTTCATACTTGAAAAAAAAACCTTGAATTTAACCATAAAACATGTAAAATTTCAAACCAAATAGCTTGTTTTAAAACATCGAAAAAAAACTTGAGACATTGTTTGGGTCTGCTTTTTCAAATCGATTTATCTCCAAAACGAAAAAAGCTATTTGAGTATTTTAAATGGTAGAAATGTAGAGCATAACATTTTGCACATTTTAATAGTTATCAACTTTTTGATAGCAATAGTAGTTTTTGAGATATGCGCCTTTAAAGTTGGCGCGGTCCTTACTCCCCTCCCCCTTCCTCGTCGCCGCCGCGCGCAGTATATGGTATCTTTAAAGGCGCGTATCTCTAAAACTACTGTAGCTAGAGATATGAGGCATTAAATTTGGCGCACCACCTCCCTGGTTGGCACGCTCTTCACGCCCCCCCCCCCTTCCTCGGCGCCACGGAGGGCCAAGTATGTTAATTTTAACATATCTTCAAAACTACTGTAGCTAGCAGAGATTTGTTAACTGCAAAATTGCACAACATAAAATTTTACACATTTTGGTTGTTGACAAATTTTTGATAACTACTGTAGTTTTTGAGTTATGCGCCTTTAAAGTTAAGGTATCGCTTAACTTGAAAAATAGTCGTATCTCAAAAACTAGAATAGCTATTCAAAATCTGTGAACTCTGAAAATGTCTAAAACTTCCTTTCACACATCATCTCAAACTTTAATTTTGATATCTAGTCTGAAAAGTGACAAACTATTTCGCAATGTATCTGCCATTTTTTAATCAAATGTGACACATAACATCAGCTGTGTGAGAAATAACATGGGATTAATTTTTTTTTGGCTCAATTTTCCCTGAAAATCTGATATCATGTGTCGTTGTCAATAGTTACCAGCATACACGAACCCCGAAAAAATTTTTCTAGAAGCTCAAAATTTTGTTGACTTGTGACACTTTTTTTTTGCTTTTAGGTTAGCCTAGCCGAAATTTTTTTTGAATTTAAAAGAAAAAAGTTTTGCCAGATGTTCCTCTTTTCATCTTTCTTATGACTTATTGATTCATAGATTCCTAGATTTTGTATAGCTCTGTTTGGATTACTGTAGCTCTGAAAACTCTTAAAATTCCAAAAAATCTCATTTTCAGTCCATTTTTTCCGCTCTTTTCAAATTTCTATCTCATTTTTCCTGTTAATTCCAGATTTTCAGCCAAACATGGAGGCCAAACCGTCTGCACCAGGATACCCACAAGCGCCACCAGCTTACGCAGAAGCTGCTGGTGGTGTGCCACCAGCACCTGGTGTCTACCCACAACCAATGCCAGGACAGCCAGGACAGGGTCCGGTAGGTATATCTCGAAAACTAGGGGAGATAGAAAAAAGTTGTCACTGCAAAATTGCTCAGCATAAAATTTCACACGTTTTGTCAATTGACAACTGTACTGTAGTTTTGGAGATATGCGCCTTAAAAGACGGCTCTCCTTAGGCGCCAGAAGGGAGAGAGGGCATGCCAACTTTAAAGGCGCATAACTCAAGAACTACAGTAGCTAGAAAAATTTCGCCAACTGCAAATTTGCTCAGCATAAAATTTTACACATTTTTTTGATTTTCAGAATTTTTCTAGATACTGTAGTTTTTGAGATATTCTAATTGCAGATATACGTTGTCCAACAGCCCCAGGAGATCATCGTCATTCAGGCGACGGGAAAAATCGCCCCATCTTTCGACTCGTACAATGAGCACTGTCCACATTGTAATGTAAGTTCAAATGCATTTTTTTGGGGCGCTGAAAATATTTTCAGCGCACCCAAAAAAAATCAAAAACAAGAATTTTTTGTTTTTGGCTGGAAAAAATATTTTTCAGCCAAAAGTCAAAGTTCCCTTTACAAAAACTAATTAGTGAGCAGGTGGAAAACATAGCAGTATAAACAATTACGAAAAAAGAGACGCAGAGAAACGAGAGTGTCTTGTTTCTCTGCGTCTCCTCTTCGTCCTCTCACAGACGCACCACTCATTGACGGTGAGGGTGCGCCAACTTTAAAGACGCATAACTCATAAAGTACTGTAGCTAACAAAAAGTTGTAAACTACAAAAATGTGTGAAATGTTATGACCTACATTTGATTAGTTAACAAAATTTGTCTAGCAATTTTAGTTTTCGAGTTATGCGCCTTTAAAGTTTGTGCACCGCCTTCCGCCACAGAACAAAGGTAGGGGGGGGGAGACGCAGAGAAACGAGAGCGCTCTCGCTTCTCCGCGTCTCTTCTAACGCCAAAAACTGCGTCCAGGGCTAAAATACCCCGTTTTCCATCATTTTTTAACAAGAAAACGCAAAAAATTCCTTCTAAACACATTTTCCTGACTCTCGTCCAGCGCTCCATGGGATTCTGCTTTTTAGAGGTGCACTAACTTTACAAGCGCATATCTCAAGAACTACTGTTACTATCAAAAAAGTTTTAACTACAAAAATGTGTGAAATTTAACGTTCTACACTTTTACAGTGATCAATTTTTTCCGGCTTCCTTAGTTTTTGAGTTATGTGCCTTTAAAGATAGCGCGCCCTCACAAGATGGAGACGCAGAGAAACGAGAGCGCTCTCGCTTTCCTGCGTCTCTTCTAGCACGAAAAACGATATAGATATGCTAAAACCCCTGGTTTTCCATGATTTTTCAACGCTGAAACCGCCGAAAATTACTTCTAAACCCATTTCCAGACCATGGTCATGACTCGTGTGGAGCGTTCCATGGGATTCTGCTCCTGGACGATGCTCTTTTTGGGTCTCTTCGTCTTCTTTCCACTTCTCTGCTGCTTCTGCTTGGACGGCTTCAAAGACTCGAGACACGCGTGTCCAAACTGTGGAAACGTTCTCTCTTATAAGAGAAGATAAGAGGAAAATTCTGGAACTTTCCCGAAAAATTTTGTCTGAAAATCTTTTTCACTTTGTTTGAAAATTTTGAAAAAAGAATCTTGATTTCTTGTCGCCTTTTCCATGATATTTTTATGTCAATAAAACTTATTTATATGAAAAATACGTGAATTTCTTTGTTGGTCCAATTTAAGACCTAAAAACGCAGCGCCACATGCAAACCCATTTTGCCAGATTCTCAAAAATTTAGAATCCGAATCTTCAGAATCTCCCTATTGAGAAAAGCCTGTTTGAGATTGTGGTTGATCACCTCATATCTTCGAGTTCGGTAGGTTTGAACATGAGCAATCAAAAAATTCAATTAACTGATTAAGTCTCCCACATTTCACTAGTTAACCAAATTTCGATAACTAGCAAGCTTTAACTTCGAAGCGTTATATCTCAAAAACCATTACAGTTATCAAAATAAGATTAATTACAAAATTGCTCAGCATAAAATTTTACACACTTTTGTTGTTTTAAATTTTTTAATAGGTACTGTAGTTTTTGAGATATGCGCCTTTAAAGTTGGCGCACCCCTCTCCCCTTCTGCAGTCGAGAGAAGTTGGGGAGAGACGCAGAGAAGCGCGACACTCTCGCTTCTCTGCGTCTCTTCTAACCGGAATTTCGTTTTTACCATATGACAACGCAATTTTAAATTCCGAATTTCATAAAATTCTTCATTTGAAAAGCATATATTTTCGACTCAAAATTACCTAGTTTTTCACAAAAAATCAAGGCATGAAAAATCAGTTTTTTTTTCAAAACGGCCATATCTCAAAAACCATAAGAGTTATCAAAAAATTACTAATTACAAAAATGTAAAGCATAAAATTTTACATATTGCAATAATTTAACAAATTTTAATAGCTACCGTAGTTTTTGTGAACGTGCGGGGAGTAGACGTAAGGGCTACTCTAGGAGTCAACTACGGACCCAATCAAAATTACCTCATCAGAAAAATAGAAATTTCGAATATCCACTCGATCCTGATCCTTCTTCAACCATCTGGGCACTTGTCTAGTTTTGATCGGTTTTCCGGAGCTCGGGGACACAATATCCTTGAGATTTGGGGCGA